CTTAAAGAACTTGTTTCTTCCTTTATAGATTCCATCTTAATATTTCTTTATGTGCATGGTTCTTTTTTTTTTTTTTTTTTGAGACAGAGTCTCACTCTCTTACCCAGGCTAGAGTGCCGTGGCGTCAGCCTAGCTCACAGCAACCTCAAACTCCTGGGCTCAAGCGATCCTCCTGCCTCATCCTCCCGAGTGGCTGGGACTACAGGCACCTGCCCACCATGCTCGGCTAATTTTTTTGTAATATATTTTAGTTGGCCAATTCATTTTTTTTATTTTTAGTAGAGAAGGGGGCTCTTGTTCTTGCTCAGGCTGGTTTCGAACTCCTGACCTTGAGCGACCCACCCGCCCTCGGCCCTCCAGAGTGCAAGGATTATGGGGCATGAGCCACCGGGCGGCCCACCTAGACGTATTGTGTATATATTTGTTTACTTATGTGCCGCAGGTAGTCCCCACTGCCATGTGGGCCCTGAGAGCAGATTCTGGCCGTTTTGTTTTCCACTCTGTCCCTAGCACCTTTCTGGTACGTGGTAGGAAGAATCTAGTATTTGCTGAAATGAAACGAATCAGTGAATGAAACACGTTGGGAGGAAAGCAACGGAAGCATAATTAATTTCTGCTTTAGCTCCCAGCCCAGAGCTCTCTTTTGAGCTCCGCCAATTCCAGTGTGCCCAGACTTTGACTCATCGCCTTCCCTACACCTGCTCCACCTTTCTTAGAAATGCCAGGGCAGCAGAACCTCGGAGGTAGTCTCGACGCTTCCCTCCTCACCTGCCCCTGCAGGGTGCCGTCAGTGCTCCTAATACCTCATCATCCCCACGCGGCTGCCTGAGCTCATGGGACTCTCACCTGGGTCATCCTAAAGCTTCCCAGATGGTCCTCCTGCCTCCGGGCCATAAAGCTGCAAGAGTTCTTTTTTTTTTGTCTTCTAGAATACAAATTTGGTCTTAGCACTCTCCATTAGAAAAATCTTCCATGTTTTGGCATCCACCTGTGAACACTTGTTCTTCCTTCAAGACTCTCCCATGACGCTCACTTCCTCGGGAAGCCCGCCCGGATTGGATATTGTTTAAACCTGTGTCATTTCCCTAGATCAGTCATTCGCCAACTTGAGCTGCTCAGAATCACTGGATTTCTTTCTATTTATAGTAGAGACGGGGTCTCGCTCTTGCTCAGGCTGGTTTCGAACTCCTGGCCTCGAGCGACCCTCCCTCCTCGGCCTCCCAGAGTGCTAGGATGACAGGCGTGAGCCACCGCGACGGGCCCACTGTTGTATTTCTAACTTGAAGCGAGGCCTCCTAAATTTAGCACCAGGGCTGTTTTCCACCAGGCTGGCGGTGGAAGTGTCGCCGCCGTCGCCGCCATCAGCGTTTCAGCTGTTTACAGCTCGAGTCCTTCCACCCCGTTATCACCCTGGGCAGGCCTGGGAGGTGAACTCGAGCCGGTTCCTTCACTTCTGGCCACAGCCACCTGGCTGTCCCAGGCCGGGAAGGGGTTAAGATGCCCCCAGAGCCTGCTGGGAGGGCAGCTGCCTCCGTGGGCACTCCGCCTGGGCGCGAGTATAAGCGCTCTTGCTGTTGCCCTGGCAGAGAAGGGCAGCGTGGAGGGAAGTTGCTAGAAAAAGGCAGGGGACATAATCCACACTGGCCCCCTTCCCGGGCCCATCACAGTGGGAGGATTATTTATGATTCCGACCCAATGGGGATCCCTCTCCTCGCGGGGGCTGCCAGCCCACGCCCTCCCCTTCCCGGATGGCAGCGGGCGGGTGTCCTCCTGCAGGGACGGAGGGGAACAAGTAGCATTCATGGAGCCGCACAGAGGAAAGAGTGTGGGCCTTGGAGGCAGCAGACCAGCTCTCACGTCCCGGCCCAGACGCTTCCTGTGTGTCCTTGAGCAAGTTGATTAA